TCATCCTTGGTCAGGGTTCCTCTCCTCCAGCTGTTTACCATGCTGCTGTAGAACATGGAGTTTGTTGTGACTGTCCTACTGTGACTGTCCTGTAAAGTCGTTCCATCTCACCATCGACCATGTGAAAACCATGCCACTCTGATGGAGAGACTGACAGAATCACAGTTGACAGAAGTGGTCTGCTGATTTTGAAAATGAAAAAGTTTAAGTCCACCTTACGCCTGGCTTAACAATGTGTGCTGCCAGGACAATGCTCACTGTATCCAAAAGAGAGAGGCAGCAGCAGGATGACTTGTGCAGTTGGAGAGATTATATAGCCAAAATCTTGTTTTGATATGAATGTATTTGAAGTTACTACTGAGGGTACTACCAATCTAAAATGACAATGTAATTGGTCTGTCATTCTTTTTTTTTTAACCATCAGATCTCAGAAATTGCATGATAATTGACGATGTCCAAGAAGCTAATTACTGGTCTTTGTTTCATCCAGCCCAATCATGTTGATCTGGAGATCACAAAACGTGATGCATCGCATGACCACAACTAAAAACTTTAAAACTGTTTTCATCAACTGTAAGCCACTCTTAGACCTTAGTTCTTAGTTATAACTCTAAAAAAATCATTTTGTTTTTGATCAAGTGACTATCATTGCTATTCTTACATCATTTTCCCAGAGTGCACTTCTGTATTTGTTACTTTGCATACCTAGTTTTTTGAGGTCAGCAATAGAACCCTTGTGTAATCGGGATCCTGGAGAAGCGTCTACGTTCCGTGCTGTGTCTTGTTGATGTATGTTGCTTGCAGTATGAGTAACAGTAAGCAGCAGCTCAGTGGATGTAGACATCAGGCAGGTGTGGAGGTGTCGTTAGAGCTAGCAACCATTTGACTTGCACACCAGCGTCTAATCCTGCACAGGAGCTTCACACAGAGAGGCAGGCTCCTGAGCGGAGCCCAGTGGAGAAGAGTGGTGTTGACGCCATACTGTTACACAGCCCTGCTGTGAGTTTCCCTCCTGCTCCCATGATGCCAGTGAAGCTAATGTAGTGGAAATACTCTGTGTTCAGACTGAGGAGCTGTTCATTAGAGGTGCTACTGCAACAGCTACTCATTGAGCTGCATATCCGTGAGGGGGGGGGGGGGGGGGGGGGGGGGTAGAGGCAGGTAGGCATAGAGTCTTCAAGAGAGACACGGTGCTGGCTTCACATGCCGGACTTCATCTGTCAAATGTGCAGCAGTGTTGGCACAGGCTGGAACCAGGAAATTGGAGACATAAATTGAAGAGAATTGATATGCCCACTGCTGCTTTGCAGGATACGGTTGCTGTACAGTTTTGTTATGTGCAGTCCAAATGAACTGCTGTGCAGGCTGTCACCTTTACACTCCACCAAAATAAACTTAGTGTCAGTTGATCTTTCTACAAATCAACAAAACAACCGTTGCACCAACGTTCAACTTTAAATCTGATTTCCGTCCATAATTTGAAGTTACACGATTGCGTGGGTGATTCTGCACGTCTTTCTATATTTCAGCACCAGGAAATGCTCACAAGATGGAGATTTCATGGTTGAAAAAGTCAGAGGATGTTGTCATTGACTCCTGCCGAGGTGTCGACACACATGATCACTGTGTTTTCTTCTCTGATATTTATTCAACTGTTTGAGGTTATGGCTTATCTTATTTTAGTGTTAGTTAATACAGATTCACATATTTATGTCACATTAACAGGAGACGTTAAAGACCAACAGTTGACTAACATGAAGGGTGGAAAAACAAACGTAAAAAAAACAGTGATGTTAAATAGGATTTAAGGATTACTACAGGGCATTAGGGGAAGATTATTCTGATTGTAGTGAAGCTAAGTTCACTCATCGTCCAACGGGCAAACACAAAACACTAAACAAAACAGAGAAACAATAGAGCACACAGTCCAGTCCTGACTGGTGCAAACAAAGCTTTTCAGCAAGAGCAACCGCTCCGCATGTTGGACACCAAAGACCCCATGTAGCATAACAAGACCAAGATCAGGTCATGGGGATGTGACAACAAAAGATGAGATGAGAACATATTGACTTCAACCTAAAATTAAACCAGTCATTTCTAATGTGGTAGAGTCTGTTTTTGATACGACTAAAATCTTTGATTAAATCCTGTTCATTTACACATTTCTGTACTAGCCTAAATTAAAACAGAC